TCAAATTTTAAATTTATAACCTTCGCTGTTTTAGTTCAGTCAATGTTATTTAAATGAATTAGTTTTTTGCTTTTGTAATAGACTCAAATGCATTTATTGTAAATAGATTTTTGTCGCTACCACGTATTCTACTTTCAATTAAATTCCTGAAAAAGACATCAGAAACTATTTATTTGCAAATTACTTAGGCTAAAACTGAAGTTATTAAAGAAAAAGCAAAATCTTTTTATTTAAGCCACATTTTTTTTTCATAATAACTTTGTTCTCTTAATTGGTGTAAGCATTGGTTATATGTTTATTCTCGAGTCAACAGTTGCAGGCCAGCCGTTTACTGAAACCAAGCGATACCAGCTTCTTTTCTACCTTATCCAAAGATCCCACTTTCACCATCAAATATTTACAAAGCTAAAGTGTTTTCTTTCATTCGGACAATTTGTTGTAGGCAGCATGGCCGCTATCTCTTTAACCGCTGAATTATGCCAATGCCGTCATTCATCTCTTATAGTTCATCGAATGTTTACACTGTTCACCACCGCTCATATGCAGAGGATTATATATTTTTTGCAAAATATTTCTCTCGAAAACTTCTCATGTTGATCCAATAAATGTAGCATTTTGAAATAGGCGAAACTTAAATAGTTTAGTTTGTGGGAAAAAGAACTTTACTTTGCGATTGCCTACCCAGTCCATTGTAATGTAATCCTGCGTTTAGTGTAAATGTTGACTTTGATGTTGCTTCTGACGCTGGTTCCAAGACAGGTGGCGATACTTGCGACTTTAAGATTTGTGACTACCATCAGTGACTTTAGGCTTCAATCAGAAATGCCCTGTGAGCTTTTTTTAATAAAAGCTTGGAGCTTCTGACGTGTCACTATCGATTTGTTTGCTCGTAGAATATAAGCCGTTTTCTCTTTGACATTCGCACAAACTCTACTAAAGTACGATGTGTGATAATTATGTAATGAGACTGATTCCATGAAAACCGTATATTTAAAAATTATTTTACAACATTGCCTTCAAAATATTCCCCTTACGAAGCTACACATATACAACGATTCCAGCGCGTTTTCCATGCTTCGTAACATTTCTAGAACGTTTCGACTGGGATTTCCACGAGTACCCTCGTCCCGGCCACCCGGACGTCCTCAATCGACGCAAAATGGGTTCCCTTGAGCATCAATTTTGTTTTAGAGAACAGAAAAAAGTCACAGTTTGACATGTTGGGCGTATAAAGCGGTTGTTGCAACACAGCGATCCCTTTAGAGTCCAAATGTTGGGACCCGCTAAGGATGGTATGGCACGGCGGGATGTCGTGATGAAGAATCCAGTTACGAGCGATGTCTGGGCGCAACCTGTTGACTCGTTTTGGCAATCTTTTGAGTACTTTGCGGTTTGCTCTGGTGGAAGAAATTCTTTTTGGATGATTCCACGGCTATCAAAAAAGACAATAATCTACGTTTTCACCTTCGACTTGCTGATGCGAGCTTCTTACGATCGGGAGACGTTCGGAGACAACTATTGGGAGCTTTGGCGTTTGGTTTCCGGGTCGTATTGAAAAAACCAGCTCTTAACGCCCGCTGTTTCGCCCAATTTAGCGCAGTTTTATAGCGACTCATTGGTCTTGATTTCGTTTACCATTTTCGTAGCAACACGAACACACGTTTACTCAACACGGCGCAGCAGGCGAACTAAACAAGCTAGAGCGATGGCAAATATCTCCCTTCCGCTTTTTTGTCTTTTGAATTTCGCGGCTATGAACAAAGCGCTACAGAGATCGTATCTGGCAACACTATACATAATTTGAAAAGTCTTGACATAACCTACAAAACAACGCTATGCATGATTAGTTTGGATATTGCGTTCAACAGTTATAGACGTGTAAGCATGGAGTTCACTAACGCCGAAATTCGCGCCATTTTAAAGTTTTCCTTCGTTAAAGGCAAATCCGCTAGAGAAACGTTCCGTGAGATTAATGGTATTTTGGGGGATAGTACTCTATCACTACGAACCGCGGAGGAATGATTTCGACGATTCAAAGCCGGTGAAAACGACACCATGGATAAGCCAGCCGGCGGAAGATCTGTGACGACAAATACCGATCAAATCATGGAATACATCGAGTTAGACCGGCATATGGCATCTCGTGACATGAAGGCTGGATACAAAAAAAAGTTTGATGTTTGGGTGCCGCATAATTTGACGCAAAAAAACCTTCTGGACCGAATCAACGCCTGCGATATGCTGCTGAAACGGAACGAACTCGACCCATTCTTGAAGCGGATGGTGACTGGCGACGAAAAATGGATCACATACGACAATATCAAGCGAAAACGTTCGTGGTCGAAGGCCGGTGAATCGTCCCAAGCAGTGGCCAAGCCGGGATTGACGGCCAGAAAGGTTTTGCTGTGTGTTTGGTGGGATTGGAAGGGAATCATCCACTATGAGCTGCTTCCATATCGCCAGACGCTTATTTCTACCATCTACTGCGAACAACTGGACCGCTTGAAGCAGAAGGGTGTAGTGTTCCACCAGGACAACGCCAGACCACACACTTCGTTGATGACTCGTCAGAAGCTACGGGAGCTCGGAGGGAAGGTTTTATTGCATCCACCATATAGCTCGGACGTAGCGCCAAGTGATTACCACCTGTTCCTGTCCATGGCGAATGCCCTTGGTGGTGTGAAGTTGAACTCAAAAGAGACTTGTGAAAAGTAGCTTTCCGAACTCTTCGCAAATAAGGAGGGGGGCTTCTACGAGGAAGATATTATGAAGATGCCGTCTAGATAGAAACAGATCATCGAGCAAAACGGCGCATATTTTAACTAAATCCGATCACTGTAACACTTTTTATAAAGCATTGAATGAAGAGCAAAAAAGCGGAAGGGAGATATTTGACAACCTATATATCAATGGAGAGAAGAAGGATTCCGGGAGAAGAGAGGGAATTGCAAGGCAGCAGGGTTACCACAATCGCGGCATAATAATTAGTTCCGTGACTAAATTGTATGTGATCAACATTTTTCTCACTCTGTCTTTTAGTACAAAATACTATATTTCAACACGAGATAAAGCCTATTTTTTGTAAAATAATAAGTGACTTTTTATACGAACCAACACTATGCATATGAATATGTTCACAAGTTTGCTCAACAAATATTTGCAAAGCATTGAAATCAAGCATAAGTCAAACAAAATGTCATTATTTAATTGTGTAGAGAATCTGCTTTTATTAAATTTAGGCATAAATCTAATGCAAAATAAACATATCAGGCCAACTGATATAAATAAAATATAGACATACATACATATTTGCGTTTCGATTTTATTATGCGATTTAATCAAATGCGAACGAGAGCAAAATTAGGGTAAATTTATGACTTGCTTTAATTAGTTTAGAGCAACAGCTATTAAAAATTTGGAACATGTTTTCGCGGTTTTCGCAATTTTTCTTTTAATTTTTCTTATTACTATAGTTTTATTTTAAAAAAATCTCATCATTTATTTATTGTTATATTCTAACATACTGACTTACATCAAAGCACATCTAAAATACCTAATTTTAATTTATTTAAGTTACATACATGTATGTGTGATGCCCAGGCACTATATTGCACTGCATATCTAATTATTTAAATACGACGTATATACGAGAAGTGATTTACTATAAGTCCAGCAAGACTTCATTTTATTCCAAAATATTAATATAAAACTTACCCCAACTGATCCATATTAATTGAAACTAGGTAGTTTTTATTTCGATTTAAAATTAACATATACGACTTTTTATTCATTCATTTATAATATTTCTCCATATTATGTTATTTAATATAAATTATTTTTTTATTAATATTTTAATTAGCGCCATATCAATTCAGGTTACATTTTTCTCATTTACATGAACGCTTGCGAATTGGCTTTAGCTTATTTTTTTGTTTATTGACTTTCTACTTGTTTTCTTTCCTTATTTATTTTTAATAAATTACAATTATTTTCATCGCATATTTTGGTAAATTATTTTAATTAGGTTATCAGATATTTTTAAATCCAACATTTCATCCATTACTGGCTGCTTAGCATAATTCGCATTTATACAATTCTCTTTTTCGGTTTGTCTTTTTTTTTTTTTTTGAAAGTTTGTCTGTGTAATTTTTGTCAGAATTCTTTGTAATTTTTCTGAATATTATATGATTGCAATTGAATTAACCTTTGTTTTATTTTATTCCAATTTATTCACTTTATTTAGGTTTTATTTTATTTCATAAATTAATTTTCATTACACTTAATTTTGTTTAGTATATTTAAATTTATTTTATTGAATATTATTTTATTTGATTTTATTTTTATTGTATGTTATTTCATTTTATTTGAATTTATCTTATATTAATTAATTTTATTTTATTTTATTTTAATTTATTTTGTTTTTTTTCCGTTTTATTTAAGATGATTTCATTCAATTTTATTCTGTTTTATTTTATTGTATTTTATTTATTTTTTATTTAATTTTATTCTATACTATTTCATTTTATTTTATTTTGTCCTATTTTGTTTGGTTTTTTTTTTTTATTTTGATCTACATTATTTTATTTCACTTCATTTTGTTTTATTTTATTTAATTTTGTGTAATTTATTTCATTTTATTTTATCTATTTTTTATTTTGTTTTATCTTATTTTATTTCGTTTTTTTTATTATATTTTATTGATTTTATTTCATTTTCATTTATTTTTATTTTATTATGTATAATTTTAATATAATTCAATTTATTTTATTTTATTTATTATTTTATTTTAACTTATGTTTTTTATTTTATTTGATTTAAGGTATTTTTATTTTATTTTTTTAGGTAATTTTTAGTTAATATAGTTTATTTTAATTTAATAGTTTATTTAATTTAATTAGTTTGTTTTTCTTTTATTTCATTCTTTCATTTTTTTATTATTTATTACTTTCAAATATTTATTATAAAGAAAAATCGCTAAGATTTAAAATTTTACAGCAGATTAATTAGCTTTAATTTTATTGCCTTTTATTTTATTTTTCAACTTTTGCTTGCATTGAAATACAAACGAAGAATACATATTTTTTTTATTGGGTAACTTTTTTTTAGCTGAATTCACTTTGATTACCCTTCTGCCTTAACCTTCGCTCGCAACTTATTAGCTTACAGCTGCTGCGCTCATTTATAATCGCATTAAATGTAATTATGAATGTTTTGTTTGTTGTAAGTATTTGTTTTTGTATTATTATATGTTTTTGTTGTTGTAATTACACGTAAAACATAATATTCACTTAAAATTACTATAAAAATACAATAATATTAATTAGCCTAGTTCCTTCTCATTTACCGTCCTTTACTTTATTATATTTCACTTAAGCTTCTTTTTCATCGCTCTCTTCTTCGCCTTCTCGTTAACATCATTTATTATTTAGTTTAGTGTTTACTTTTTTAATTTATTTTCATATCTTTAATTCAATTAACTCATTTAATTTGATTTAAGTTATCTGTGAGTGACTGACGGTACATTTACCGACGCAGAGGAGGATGAGAAGGAGGGTGAGGGTGTAGTATTAAGCATACATTTCTGTTGTTGTTGTTGCTGTTTCTTCTGTTGCTGTGCATTATTTTGCCTCACCAGCAATTGCACGGGCAGCAGCTGTTGTCGTTGTTGTAGTTGTTGTTCGCAACTATCGATACGCTTGGCGTAACATAGATTTGCACTTGCTCTTCGTTTTTGTTGTAGTTGTAATAGTTGTTGTTGCTGTTGGTTTTGCACTTGTTGCCTCATACATTTGCCGCTCAATTTGTGCACCGACTGCATCATTTGATTAAAGAATGCAAATGTTGCAATGCATAATTTAGCAACAACACCTACCCAGGCTATTGTTGTTGTCCCAAGTGTTGTTGCCGTTGTTGTTGCTGTAATGCTAGCGAATGCCATTAGTGACATTGCCATAATTGTTGGTGGTGGTGACCTGCCACTGGCGGAGGAAAAGTACGAGCTGAGAAAGTTTGTCATGCTAGAGCCGGACGAAAGAGTAACTGTGTGAGCAAAGAGAGAGAGGCAGAGAGAGAGATAGAGAGAAAGAGAGAGAGGGAAGAGAGAAAATAATATTTTTATTAGTTTCTTTTAGTAAAATTTTGGAATATGTTAAAAGTTTTTCAAAGCAGAACCAAAAGATGGAAAAACTTAAAATTAAAATTAAAAGTGAAAAAACTAATAAGGAACACAATGTGGTGGCCACTTTGTTTTATTTGCATTATGCGTATTCAAAGTCGATGCAGGGAGATTTAGCAGAAAGATCGAACCAAATTTCGTTCTCGCAAAATACTATAAGTTTTGGGTCTATGTCAACCTAAGAGTGGCTGTTATTATTCATCCCAGTACCTTCGTCAACCATCGGATAATATCTATAAACAAGTCACCATAAATCTCATGCTAAAAGAGGTATGAAAAATTTCGCTGAAAGCTATAAAATATAAAATCTCGTGAAATTAAAAGGCAGTGTTTTCTGTGATCCATGTCTTCAACTTCGTGAAATTAGCAGCTGGGTAGTATGTCCTTTGTAGAAAAGTGTGATAATCTCTCCATATCCGAGACGGCAGCCCTTAATAGCGCATTAAACTGCCTCTACTCTTAACCAAACTTGGAATCGTTTTGAGTCCAAAATTTGCTCAAAGACGTTTAGAGCTTATAAAAAAAAATTCTGTTCTTTAGTTAACAGTAAAAGTTGGAACAGCCACTGAGTTGTTCGAAAAACCCGCAAGAAGTGATTGATTTTTATGAAAAAGTATTTAAAAATTCGAGTTTCGCAAAAAAATTTGCACCAAAGTAAAATATTCGACAGAAATTTTAAAAAAATTTTAAATATTTGGATGGGCAGCATTTTGGAAAACCAAGGGAAAAAGAACGTATTTAACACATTAATGCATCCTACGCCTGTGATATGATTAAAGCACCGATAAACAATTACATATATACATGTACTAATTACTTTATTATCTTGCAACCTAAGCATAAACTCAAATATAAAAACAGTTATGACAATGTCGTAAATAAACACACATATACCAGTACATCTCACTTACCTCTCGCCGGCACCGGATCCTTCTGCGGCGTGCCCAATTCAATTTCCTTGTACTCTTGATACAAATCACCAATTTGCGCTGTACAACGTAAAACTAAGCTGCCAACATTACCACCACCACCACCACCACCACTGCCCACACCGACCCCACCACCACTACCGAAACTATGCACCGAGTTCATGCCGCCATAATTACTGCCAACGCCGCCGCCAGCACCGTTGTAACCGCCATAACCTTGGCTGCTGCCCTGATGTAGCAGTGCAGGATTCGCACTGGAAAAGTGTATGCCCTGCAGTTGCAATTTCAAACTGATGCGTGATGCCATCAAATTGTCAATAGTGCGTACGTATTGAGTTTCCGATGTGCCAACCTGTGATGAATTGGAACAGAAAGGGAGAGAAAGTTTGTGAGCAAATTAATTAAAATATGTTAGTTCGTAAGGACAGAGAGAGAGAGAGAGAGCACTTATGTAAATTTTGATATTTAGTGATTTAAAGGAAATGCGATGTATTTACTTCCGCTTTCGTATTTATTGCTTATTATTTTTAATCCACAAGATGAAGTCCTTTAAGTGTTGGAGAGAATACATATATATGTCAGCACAAATGAACATGGGAACTCGATATTTTCTTACTGGTATTGGTAGTGAATTATCAAGAACTCTTTGGTCTATGTTAATAATATGAACTGGAAGGATTAGGTGTTTTTAATATGAAAAGTTCAAAAACCTTTTCTACCTTGAAATAACTTTTTCATAACTTCTTTGAACAGTGCGTTATACATTCAAACTTCATTCTGATGACAAGTTCAAGTGCTTAACTGCTTCAAAAGACCAACCGATGAAAGTCACTATGTTTGGAGAAATATAACTCAACAATGTGCACACAGTTCATGCGATTGGCATTAATTGGAAGGACCAAATATAACCGGGTCCTTCTCTACCTGGTTTTTTCAATGGACTGGAGGTCTTCCTCAACCTCTGCTTCCACCAGCGGGTTCTACATCGAAAACTTTGAAAGCTGGAATATTCTTATCTATCTGGGCAGATTAAACGCTGTTTCTTATACACTGAACTATGTCAATGTGGCCGTATATCTCTTGCATCCTACCGTTCATCGCCTGCAGTATTCTCCACTATCTCATCTGAAGCAAATTATAACTTTTCGTTGACACAGCCGCACCTCTGGTTAACAGACGCTGCAATTGGATATCAGCAAACCCTACAAGTGACTATGTAGGAGTGGATTCAATGAAGCTTTCTCCCTTTAAGCCAAAACCTAAGGCTCTACACGGGTTGGCTACCGCACCTTGTACAAGGGTCGCTCACGTTTCCAGAGTGGGCCACAGGGGCGGAAGAGTAGGAATTGGGTGTAGCCCCGTGACTGTAAGTTGATACCCATAAGGTTGATCTCATACCATTTCACATGCATGTCAAAGACAAACACCATGTGGATCAAATTTCTATCTAGGAATCGCTGCTAAATCGTAAAAAAATCGACTCATTTCAAGATAATACCAGACCTCAGACATCTTGATATTGACATACCAAAACCTCCGGATGCTTAACGAGTTAGCCTGTCTCAGCGGAATGCTGCAAGACGTACGTGCATGAGCGTACAATTGCTGGCATTTGCTGGAACGGAAAGCATGACTTAATTTTAAAATTAAACAATTCCCAGAAAAATAATTTTATAACGTTTGCGCTACATACACATAAAATCAAACAACTCAATTTTAAATTATTCCTAAATCTTTAAAGTCATGCTTTTCAGCCAGTTTTTCCTCATTATTTTTCATACAATAAATCTCCAGCAAGTTTTTCATTTCTCTCACAAAAATTCTCTGAATGCTTGGTAAAGCAAAAAAATTCAAAAACCCTTTAGAATTGTTGCACTGCAACTATTTTTCTTGCACTGAAGAATTCAAAGCACAGCAATAATGAAATGCAGAAATTTATTGTTGCGTAAAGCAGCTAAGCGTTCGTGTTCGGGTTCGTTGTATTCGTGTTTGTTTATAAAGAATTGTAACATTGTGAATTGTCTAAGATGTGAAAAGGTTACTGCAGGCAAGAGCAGAACTAGAAAAATTGTATGCAATTTAACAAATAATGTAAGCAAGCAAAAACAGCGAAAGAAGTATAAAAAATGATGCAAATAAAGAAAAAATAAATACATATACATTTAGTACCGAAAGAGCAGTACCAATAAAAAGGCAACGTTGCAGCAAAAATCAGAACGGCACGTGATACTCCAAATAAATTTAGACAAACATCTCTCGCGAATGTGAAAGTGATGAATTGCAAAAAAAAGAAATGTTGAACAGGCATTGTTAAATAATGCTTCACCGATAACCTAGAAAAACGAAGGCACACTTTTATGGTAGTCAAGTATCAACATAATTTTGGTGGCGGAAATTTAAAGTTGAAGTAGTGCTCTCTTCTTTTTTCAGTTTACTCAGCTTTTCGCTTCTGTATTTTGCTTTATTTTTATTAAATATTAGTCCTTCGAAATAAGTTTATTTTACTATATTTAATTTTGTTCACTTTAGTTTAAATTTCTTTCTTTTTAAATTTTATTGTTTCCTTAAACCCAATTAAAATGTCTGATTTAATGAAATTATATTTTATTTTGTTTTCATTAGTTTTACTTTTTTATTTTATTTACTTAATTTAATTTATGTTATGTTATTTTCTAATTTTATTTTAATTAATTTATTTTATTTTATTTTATTTTATTTTATTTTATTTTATTTTATTTTATTTTATTTTATTTTATTTTATTTTATTTTATTTTATTTTATTTTATTTTATTATATTTTATTTTATTTTATTTTATTTTGTTTTATTTTATTTTTCTTTATTTTATTTTATTTTATTTTTTATTATACTTAATAATATTTTGTTTCGCTTTAATGCTGTTACGCTTTTCTCAAACTAGTCTTGACTAACTATATGAGTTTTTTGCTGTTCTTTGAAGTATAGTGTTTGAATCGATATAACTACGCACAACAAGAATGCACAATCGATAAAGCATTCAAAACAAAGGTGGCACGTTGTTGTTCGTACACAAAAACAACATTTTGTTTTCAATAAAAACAGCACTCAATTTTGTTGCATGGAAATTCGATTAGGCTTATTGGAGCATAAAAATCGGATTTTAACACGGTTCTTATCTTACTTGCATTATATATGTGTTGAGTTAAGCAAGGACGTTTGAATAGTGAATTTTTTGGATTAATTTTTGACTCCCAGTGTAAGTGATTTGTAGTAAAATAAAAATAATCCTTGTGGAGAGAATTGTGTTTAAAAAAAAAGAAGCAGCTTACAAGCAATTTAAAAAAATATATGTTGATAAATTTAACATTAGTGGTTATCAAAAATTTAGAGATCTTTTCTATTAAAACCAGTGGGGACGTTCTATTGTCCAGAAGCATATATCTAGTATTTATCAACAAATATAAATTTTATATTTTTTGGATAAGGCATTATAAAAATTATAATATTTTTGAATGGGGTTAACCCAGTTATCTAGTTTGTAAAGAAAGCGAAATGTAGCAATATATTGTATATATTATCACGTATCCGCCATGTTGTACTAGGATATTGGAATTATCTGGCAAATATTTTACATTTCCCAATTTGCAAAAAAAAAAAATATATTTGCGATTGAGTTTGTAAATTATTTTTTTCATTTATGCATTTTGATTAATAGAAAAAAAATTAAAATAAAATAAATATTATAAATAAAAGATGCCAAAATTTTAACAAATAATAGTATTAACTAATAATTAATATTGATATTCTGAAAGATATTTTTTTGCCCTGAAAGTGACAATTTTGCCCACTGCTCCATCAGTGCAGTGTCTTAAAATTGATATATACCACCGATTTTGTCTGCACCCAGGTGGTCTATTAAGCTCGCCAATGCATCTCGTATTGTTTTCAATCTTTTGTATATAAATATCCAAAAGTATCATAGGAAATGCTCTTCCACTTAGCTTATTTTGCATATATATTTCGGATAACATATAATTTTTCTTTAATGCACATAGAAACAAATGGCATATATATACACCTGCAATTCATGGCACAGCACACCAGATTCTTCTTAATTAGGATTGCAATATTATGTCCTTTCGGCTAATAGCAGGTCGTCAGATGTATACTATTTGAAAACAAAAAATATTTTTATAGGAAGAAGTTGTTCAAATGAAGTAATGGAAATTAATTAGCTCGAGAATTATTATTGGCTTTATTCGTCTAAGAAAAATATTTATAAAGTAAATGATTTTTATAAAAATATTTGATGTCAAATTAAAAAAACTACTTATTTTTATTAAATATGTACTCTTCTGTTGAAGCAAGTTTTGTTTATCACACGATCGTCATGTTGACCATTAAATATTTATGTATTGTATATATTTTCGACATATCACAATATTATTTTAAAATCCATTTAATTTGGTAAAATAGATTGAACACTCACATTCATATAAGTATATACTCGTATAATGTTGACATACATACATGAAAACTAGCTGAGCACATTAGTCGCTAACTCAATTACTGAAGCTGGCGGAGTTCCAAATATTATTTACAAAAAAAATATATATATATACGCATACTCGTACTTATTTATGAAATCCCACTAACATATTACTTATACGCCATGTACTGCTGGCCAACCAAGGATGTTGGCTGTTGTGTTGATGATATGAGACAACGAAAGAATATGTGCAACCAATACACATACAAAAATCTGTGTAGAAAGTGAATGCGACGTATGAAGAGATATATGACATGAGATGTTATGTGATTTTGCTGTTGTTGTTGTTATTATTAAGGTACAGTATTGCGGTAGGTGAATGATGATGAAACCAGTTGCATGCACAAACACACTTGCACTCTACAGGTTTGTGCATTCATTCCATACATGTGCATGTGCATCTATGTATATATTTGAATGTGTGTGAGTGTATAGCTTAATTTGGATTGTGATTATGAACATTACGGTTGGAAACTTTTAACATATTGCAAGTGGCATCAACGCTTGACTTCACTCAACTTAAAAGTTTATTTAGAGAGAAAGCATAATTTCGGTGCAGTCATTTGGAAAATAAAATAGTTGACTCGTGGTGCAAATAGATGCAAGAGGAGAGAAATGAGATGTGAATGTTAAGGGAAAAAGAAGAGAAGAAAATAAATATGGGACAAAGTAAGAAAGAAAAGGGCAAATTGTAATAAAAGTTGCTTGTTGCAGCGAGTAAACTTAAGCTTGCAGGCAGAAAAGCAAACGTGAATTGATGAAAATACTCATACAGTAACAGAGTAACTCTTCTATTTATATGATTAAAAATGGTAAATCTTAAATT